TGCGATCTCCCCTAGTGGGAGCCGGGGCAGCGCACGCGCAGCTCGTGCTAGACACGTTTTGGGGTCCCTCTTGTCAACAGTACTGGCAACAAGGATGTTATAACTCTTCAGTTCTGATCAATGAATGAAATGTGCCTTTCATCTCAAGGAGACATCAAGGACGCCCTTCATCGGACGCGCAGTCACCCGTGACGAGAGCAGCAGTTGATTGAAGCTCCTTGATTGTGAAGGGCGCGATCATGACAGGTGTAACGTTAGGACAGTTCTGTGGAACACCGGCGAATGACACCATCCCACTCTGGTCGGAGGGACATCTGGGACACTGTTTCCAACAGGTGTGTGATGTCTTACTCAAGGTCCTACTATGTTAAATACAGCTCTAGTTCCTTGAATGCATCCGACAAAAGTTTTTATCATCTCAAATCAATCAATAATCCAAGGGCATCAGGAACTGATTAAAGTCAAAGTCATCTTCAAGTTACCCACCATGTGATACAGTTCTTGAAATATTACCTTTAGCAAGGACATTATACACAGATATATATGTCCTTACCTTTAGCTTTTTATCATTGCAAACTGCCCTTTTCTTTTAAAATTAGTAATTATGTAAAGTTCTTGAATGTGTACCTACTTATTACCAAGTTTAATGTAACGTTAACCCAAGGACATTATACCTGTAATATACTGTCCTTGGTTAACCAAATAAAATAGTGTCCAATTAATAATAACTCAAGTGATTGAAAAGTTAAACTTACATGTTAAAGCCAATGGATCAGACATATTATAATTGATGTTGCGAATCATACAATGTATTTCATTTACTGACAATATCTATGGATGTTCATTGCTTCCAGGTTGCTGTTGTGTCAGGAACACACTTCATCTTTGCTGTGTGCAGCGCCTACTTTGCTGGAATCAAACAGGGCAGGATCATCCAGAACCTGACGCGTTCAGCGGCAGTCAACATCAGACTGCTCATCTGTGCCCTGCAGTTCTGTGCACCGCTTCTGCACATACTCCTGGTAGAACTATGGCAGCGGGAAAAGCTCCCTCTGGTGGATGTGGTGACAGGTGCATTTGTGGCTTTCTCCTGGTTAGTTCACACCTGTGCCGTTTGGCAGTTGAGGAAAATGCACGTCGTTCACATGAGAGGACCACTCGTCCTGGCGTTAACCTGGACTCTCACTCTGGTCGCAACCGGTTTCCAGCTGCAGGCGGTCATCCTCCGGGCTAGCAGAGTGGACCAGACGCTGGACGTCGTAACGGAGAGTATTACATTTGCAGTGGCAGGACTGCAGTTTCTTTACCTCGTGACGCTATTCCCCTCGCACAGACCTAACATACCACTGCTGTTTGCTCCTCCTCACGTGCAAAGTGTGAATGAAGAAGAAGAACCTTTGCTACGGACAGGTGCAAAAGTCCGTTATGATGGTTCAGTGTCCAGACCAGACACAGTAGAGCTGGACGTTGCTGAAGACAATTCCAACTGGCTGTCGAAGCTGACTTTCTGGTGGGTCAATCCCCTTATGGTGAAAGGATCCCACATGCAGCTCAACGCAACAGGAGATCTTTTTCACCTCCCAAGAAAGTTGACAACAACCCACGTGGAGAAAGTCTTTACAGAGAAATTCTATCCTCATTCCATTGACAAGTTGGAGCCATCTGATGATGAGTATCCAGAGGTGAAAGTCAGAAATGGTGGGATCGAGGTACAGGATGTCCTAGAGGAACCGCCCTGCCCTGACGGGGCAAGGAAAAGTCTGGGACAGCCAGTGACTCTGATGAAAGGTTTACATGGAGCATTTGGAATGCAGTACTACTCCCTGGGGATCTTAAAACTCCTAGGTGACGGGCTGGGGTTCGCAGGACCCTTGCTGCTAAACTTACTCGTCTCCTTCATGGAGAACTCAAACGAGCCAATGCTGCATGGGTACATGTACGCACTTGGACTCTTCTCTTCCACTCTGATTGGTGCAATATTGTCCTCCCAGTTTAACTACCAGATCAACAAGGTCGGCATCCAGATCAGGGCTGCCCTGGTCACCACTGTCTACCATAAGGTCAGATTTATATTTTATGTGTAAGATAACTAGAAGATATTCGATATGAAATACAGAATAGACAATGTTTAAGGATTTGTCTTAATGTGAATTTCATATCCCAATACCATGGTTAATATCAATACACAATGTATATAATGTATTTGTTCCTCCAGGCCCTAGCTGTCAGTAGCACTTCTCTGTCTGGATTCACGACCGGAGAAGTTGTGAACTTCATGAGTACAGACACGGGTCGGATTGTCAACTTCTGTCCGTCGTTCCACCAGTTCTGGTCCCTGCCATTTCAGATTGCCGTGTCACTCTACCTGCTACACCAACAGGTCAGCTGTTCTCTGTGATGAGAAATTCTTTCCCGTAGTTAACCTGGTTCATAGATTCTCTATCAGAGAACATTTACTGCATCCATACAGTGGATGGTTCGCTGGTTGGTTTGTATCTAGACTGACTTAGGCCTGGTTGGGAATCTGTTGACATGTTTGTCAATAGTCAGGTTAGCAAATGTCTTACAGTCAAACCTGGCCAAGGCGACCACTCAGGGGACTGGATAAAAGTGATTGCCTTAAACAGGTGGTCGGCTTAATGAGGTCACCTTGCTTGGCAGGTTTGACTACTTTAAAAAGTGTGTCCCAATTTTTCTGTGTCTTCCATGCCTTTATAGTTATACAGTTGGTCATTTTAGTCAGCCCAACTCCTCCTGCCTCAGTCCTTGTTGTTGAGGTATTATGTTTATGATTATGAAATAATGTTTTTTCCCTGAACAGGTTGGCATCTCGTTCCTTGCCGGCCTGGCCTTTGCCGTGCTGCTGATCCCGATAAACCGCTGGCTCGCCATCAAGATCGGGAAACTCAGCAATGACATGATGCTGCAAAAAGATGCTCGAGTCAAGGTGGGCATGGACGATCAGTTTTCATCTCCAAGAAAAGTTTCATTTTCTAAGCTTATCAACTACATTTAGCATGGATGGCCCTTACACTTTAGGTTACTTATGATCTAGCAGGCTAACAAACAAATTTATCATTTTCTTACTTCATCAGTTTCTGTACGGCCATGTAGACTGCTAGTAGTTGAAGATGCTGTACCTTCAAAATAATCATCACACTTGCTGTGACTAAATACATGTATATACATTAAGGATGATATTCTTTGAGCACTTAGGTATACAGTCTAACCATGGAGGTAGAAAATGTGATTTTCTACCTCCATGGTCTAACACTTGATTATTTTATGAATATTATTTTAACTTGCATACCCTTCTAAATGCTGCTTTTGCACCACTCCTAGCTGATGAATGAGATCCTGTATGGAATCCGGGTGATCAAGTTCTATGCCTGGGAGTCCACCTTCCAGGAGAAGGTTCGTCGTCTGCGTCAGCTGGAGCTGAAGAGTCTGCGGGGCAGGAAATACCTGGACGCCCTGTGTGTGTACTTCTGGGCCACCACACCTGTCCTCATCTCCATCCTCACATTCACTACATACTCTGCCCTGGGAAACAAGCTCACTGCTGCTAAGGTAGGAGGGTGTGGTACTGTTGAGAAAACTCTGTTGTCAGTAAGAGGATCAGAATGTCAAATAGGACTGATCAAGGACATTACTAGTATATGTCCTTGGACTAATCGAATTTAAGTTCTTCAACATTTTGCTATTTAACCATCATATTTCTCTATGTTTAATGTCTGATGTTTTCTTAATTTCTGTGATCAGTATCAGTGTCTGTCTTGTCTTACCCCAATATACAGCTTCAAATGAAAACTCATCTGTTTTGGTACCATAGAATCCATAGTTGGGAGTTTAAAGTTGATCTGAGTTCTAACTTTTTGGGGGATTTTGCATGGGAACAAAGTTAAAACTCTCAAGTACAGTCTACAGCTGTTTGTTAGAATACTTTAGTCTTTAAGGTTCTTTCAGCACTGTTAGAGAGACTGATCTGTAGTTTAGAATACTTTGGTCTCTAAAGTTCTTTTAACACAGTATCTTGTCCATTGGCAGGTCTTCACAAGTGTAGCGTTGTTCAACATGCTGATCAGTCCGCTGAACGCCTTCCCCTGGGTCATCAACGGGCTGATGGAGGCCTGGGTGTCCGTCAAGCGGCTGCAGGCTTTCCTGCAGCTCAGAGAGATCGACCTGCTCTCGTACTACAGTACAGGTCAGGCTGGAGGCAGTATAGATTTCCATTAGATTTCTTGCCTACCTCACCAATGTATTTGTCCAATTTTTTCTTGCATAGCTTACCGATGTTTATAAAACATTAGCCATACGTAATTGTGATAATGTGAATACATGTATGTACTTAATGTGCTGGTAAGGTAGTTTAATAGAACTAGTAATGTCAAATTTAGCTAATTAATAGGCATATGATTGGGGCACATTTTAAGACATATATCTTATTGTAAAGGAAATACAATGTATTTATTCAGTGATTGACTTAATTGTTTGTAACAAATGTATGTAACATGAACTTTGATGATCCATATGTTTCTGAATCATGATCTTGTTACTATAACTCATCAAGCTATCTGAGTCAGTTGGCTCATGTTTTGTTACTCCGTGAAGGAGGTCAGGACCTCCGGACGGAGTGTTGTAATCGGCTGATTTTTCATGTTCGCAGTCAAAACACTGGGTTCTCTTCGTGTAATCGGCACGCAATTTGATACGCCGTCTGCGGGCATGCCCGTGTTGATGCACGAATGTGTATTTTTGCCGTTGCTGCTTTCGCGGTCAATGTAATATCGCAGACGCACCCCTACAATTACGAGGCGAATTGGAACGGTCCAGAAAAACGCGTTGTTTGGAATAGCGGGGGGGAGGTAAAAGTTCATGCAGATACGGGGTGGTTTTTATAAGTGGTTCCAGATGTTTTTGCCCATGGTTAAGAGATGCCAAGTTTTTTGGAAGATGTTCGCAGCCAAAACGCATTCTGCCGTACGTCGCATATCTGTGTAATTTCGCATGTGGTGTTGCATTATGTCCGGGATGATGCACGTCTTTTTATTTTTACCGTAGCTGTTTTGATATTGGAGTAAATGCATATTTTAGAAACATCCCTACTTTTACAATCCTGTGGAATAGGCCGTAGGTTTAGGCAGTTGTCTGGTAGCAGAGGTACTGTAAGCAGATATCCTGGTTATCTGGCCGACGGTAGTAACACTCGCGGTGATTACGGCAACTCCAGGCGCGCTTAATTAGGTACAGGCACGGTAAGACGGTGGGGCTGACCATGATAGTCCGATCTTTACCTTCGCCAAGAAGGTTATGTTTTCAGAGGCGTTCGTGTGTGTGTGTGTGTGTGTGTGTGTGTGTCTGTAAACACGATAACTTGAGAAGGCCTTGATGGATTGTCTTGATACTTGGTAGGTGGGTAGGTCTTAATGAGACCTCAAAATGATTAGATTTTGGGCCCCCTAGCAGCTTGTTACGGTACTGCAGCTGAACTTCCGGTTTTGATATCTCATGATCCAGACATGCCAGGGTGACGAAATTCAGATGGCACGTAGCTCTTGTGCTGGGAAAGAAGTGACGTGAGTTTGGGCCCCCTAGCGGCTTGCTCTGGAACTGCAGGACTATCTGTTTGAATATATTCAAAAGAGAATAACTCAAGAATCGGTTGACGGATCGTCGTGATTTTTGGTATGCAGGTAGCTTACGTGATGCTTAATATAATTATGTGACAATTATTCAAATATGGATGTAATTTGCATAATTTATGGAGAAATTCTATAAATCAGCTGCATTCCATCATAGGACTATTGAAGCTTGTCGCATTGGTAATTGAGAACGAGATAAACACAGGCAGATATTGATTATGTAAATGAAGACTTAATTTGCATAATTAATGAGAAAATGTTATAATTCTGTAATGATAACTGCCTGGAATTTCATATTTATGGTCTTTGAAAGTACAGTGAAGGTGAACATCATTAAACATAATGTATTCAAATCAGGACCTCATTTGCATAATTTATGAGGAAATGCTAGAATGGCATTGTTTGTTAATATAAGACTGTCTTTTGGTTGAGAATATGATAAACTGATAAAATTCATAAGAAAGAGGATCCTATTTGCACAAGCAGGGGGAATAATCTATCATTTGTCAGCCATAAAGATTAACATCATTTGGCGAAGGTATGAGATCGGGGAGCTCTAGTTATGTGAATGCAATGATTGTGTGTGTGTTATTAAAATGAACTTCGAACTTGAAGCACAGTATCTTTACACGCCCTGGGAGCAGTAATGGATTTAGCTCTTTGTATGTTTTATGGTTGTGACGCGCCCTCATTGTATTAACCGTTGCCTAATTTAATATAATGTCTGCACAGTAGGTCTGGCGTTGACGCTTGGGATTTTGTTTAAATATGTAAAACTTCACGGAGGATTGTCACCTATGGCTTCTTGTTTTCTTTTGAATTGACTTGTGTTCCTTTTTTACAGATGAAGGGGAAGCAGACAGTGCAGTGGAAATCCGTAATGGCAGTTTTAGCTGGAGTACAGCTGACATTGCTGTTCCCGCTGCTGCTGGGAGTTCTGCTCCAGACAGCCGACGAGACTCAGGGCTGGAGGACAGCTCAGCAAGCAGCATTTTCAGCAACTGTGGTACCCAGAAGCTGGAGGGGATCTCACTGACTGTGCCAAAGGTGACATGTAAACAAACTTAAAGCTGTAGACTCTAGTCTATGATGGAATACTTTAGTCTTTGGTAAATTAGTAAGATTTTTAAGGTAAAATCTTACTTGCCTTTAAATCATCAATAGTATGGTATGGCCATTTTGAATGTAACAATAATCTTGCCACAGGGCCAGCTAGTGGGAATTGTAATGTGAAACCCTGTGATAAAGCATTAAGATTTTGAAAAGTAAAATCTTACTTTGCCTGAGTCAAGTATACAGTACGGTCATTCTGAATGTAACAACCATCCTCTTCCCACAGGGCCAGCTGGTGGGAGTTGTAGGTGCAGTTGGCAGTGGGAAGAGTTCCCTCCTTGCGGCCATCACTGCTGAGATGGAGAGGCAGGACGGCCGGATCTCTGTGGCTAACTTGGCGGGAGGGTTTGGTCTGGCCGCACAGGAAGCCTGGATACAGCAGACCACTGTCAGGAACAACATCCTGTTTGGGAGGGAGATGGACACCGGCATGTATGAGAGGGTGATCAGGGCATGTGCACTGGAGGAGGATCTTAAGGTATTGGCTTTGGGAAGTTTACTGTTAGCATTGTACTTGGTGTGGTAAAAATGCAACCATAAGAAATATGACTGTGTGTACTTCACAATTTGATTTTGTCTAGATGGCTTCTGTGTAACCAGTACTGATGATGCCAGTAACACTGTAACTTTCTGTTTGCTGTTAGTACAGAATGTAATGTCTTCTGTGTGATGTATAGCTTGTATAGTTGTCTTCACAGTGTCTTCACAAGTTTGATTATCTTCATCATTCTCAGATACTTCCCTCTGGAGACCTGACTGAAGTTGGGGAGAATGGGGTGACTTTGAGTGGTGGACAGAAGGCACGGATGGGACTAGCTAGGGCTGTGTATCAGGTATGGGCAAAAATCTTTGAAGCATTGTCTCTTCAAGATCGACACAACTATTGAAATGCATCTTGTTCTAACTCTGACTCAAAAAGCTGGAACAAAAAATGTTCTGATACAGTTGCTTCAGTAGTTGCTATGAATTTTTCAATACCATATTTATGGAATACTATAATTATTCTAGTTTGTTGTTATGTTTAGCTTTGAAGGCAATGAAGCCAGGACTCTTTAAACTCAACCTTTTCTAGGGAAAAGACATCTACCTCTTAGACGACCCACTGGCTGCTGTTGATGCTCATGTGGCTGAGCACCTCTTCTCCCAGTGCATCATGGGGCTGTTGAAGGATAAGACCAGAATCCTTTGCACCCACCACACCCGTTTCCTCCAGGAGGCAGATCTAGTGGTAGTGATGGAGGCCGGCAGGATTGTCAAAACAGGTCAGACTGGGTCATGTACATTCTCTAGATCATCCCAGTTATTTATCTATGGTCCAGGTACCGGGTAGATAAAATTTGCAGGCTAAATGAAATTGGTACAAATACTAACATGTTTTATGTACACATGATGACTGATTGTGTTTCGTTTAGCTGAATAATTGTAATTTCCTATGTAACAAAAGTCTGACTAGAATAAGCAGTTACTGGCTCAAATACTTGATACATGTATATCTTTGCATCACTGATTTTATAGGCCCGCCCTCTGAAGTTTTAAACCATGACATAAAAATGCCATCACTTAAGAAACAAGAAAAAAGACAAGACGACAGCAACAACGATGGGGAAAAAGTCTCCAGCCAAGGTTTGTCAATTTTTGCTAAGCTATCACTTTGAAGATTTAGATATGAAAAACATCAGTTCTTATGTGATGTAGTCATATGAGTAATATCAATATGCTATTATAACCATCCTGTTTTTGTGCATTTAAGTCATAGTCTTTTGAGACGGACTGACAGAGATCTAGAAAGTATATGCTAAGCTATGATATGTTCAATGTATACATTTTAGACTTTGACTCACAACTTATCAGGGCTTTACCTCTTTAGTATCCTTGTAGTTTGAAAGAAGTAAAGCGAAAACAAAAAGAAACATTTCCTACTTACTGCTGTTCCATACAGAAGAAGACCTTGTCCCTGAGCCTGCTCTGTCCCGTGAACAGTCCCTAGTTCAGGAGGAGGAGAGGGAGGTGGGCTCAGTGGCCTTCCAGGTCTACAGGTCCTACTGGCAGGCTGTGGGCGCCTGTCTGGCTCCAAGCGTGCTGGTAGCTCTCTTCCTTATGCAAGGTAAGAAATCATCATCATTGTTGTTGTCACATATCAGTAACTACATGTACTGAGGCAGATCCTTATTGTTTATTGTCCGTCACTATATCACATCTTTTCTCATATTTCTAGTATCAAGTAAGGTCAAGTAGAGCAGTTACTGTTTAATAGATAGCAATGCTGTAGAAAGAGCCCAACAGGCCATTAGGCTGACTACAGCTGATAGAATGTCAGAATGTTTTCCACTGTAACAGTTACATAAAAGTAGTATCAATACATTTTGTACGTCCATCTTAAGAGTTTGAATATATTTTTACACTGCAGCTTCCAAGAACCTAAATGACTGGTGGTTGTCTTATTGGATATCCCACTCCCATCACAATAACACTATCTCATCAACCCATCCAGCGCTGGCTATCATATCATCTGTACCAAGGTGAGCACATGACACTCAGGAGGCTACAGATATAATGACTGCTTTTCTTTCCTTTGAATTGCAGGTTAATAGTCCTCATTCTTGATAACATATTGATATCCTCTTACTGTAACTTGGGTAAGGTCATGAATAGAAATGCATAAATTTTGGGTAATCATAAGTTTACTTACTGGTAAATAGATCTCTTAAATAGATCCCTTAAATAGATCTCTTAAGTTGCTATTAATGATGGGAGAGAATAACTACAAATAATACAATGTCCCTATTAGAAGCAGTAAGCAATTGATATTTCGTCATTTGTCCTTTTGTAGCTCCATGGCACCCTTGCTGCTGGCCTCAAGCAATTCAACAACAGACGACGTCACCTTCTACCTGACTGTGTACGGGGCGTTAGCTGGGGCCAACACTGTCTTCACCCTGTTCAGGGCCTTCCTGTTTGCGTATGGCGGGATCTGTGCTGCCAGGGTGTTACATGACCAGCTGCTCAACAGTATTCTCAAGGTACCTATCGAGATCATCAAAGGTACATTTAATACCAAGTTATGCTGTACAAGTTGTGAAAGTTTCGGTGAGCTTATTTACGTGGTGGCACGTGTTGTAATGTTGATACACATGTGTTTAAAGACCCATGATTTCTCTTTAAGCCTTATTCTATATGTATCTTTATCAAGCTTAGGATATGAAAAAGGGTCACCCTTCTCATAAATCGTTTGCTTTATTCAGTGTTCTGTAGATAATGGTAGGCCTCTGCTTGTATACTTCTATGTTTATGTAGATATCTCATATCATTATCTATCTTTTTTTCTCTTTCTGTCTCTCTATCTGTATATACTTGTATAATTATGCATAGATAGATAGAAGATAGATATACAGTACATATAACATCATTCATTCTTCAATCTTTGCTTGTGACTAGGCAAAGATCCAGTTCTTTGACACCACGCCGATCGGCCGAGTGGTGAACCGGTTCTCGTCGGACATGTACTCCATCGACGACTCGCTGCCCTTCATCATGAACATCCTGCTGGCACAGACGTACGGCGTGGCAGGGACCATCGTGGTGACGTGCTACGGGCTGCCCTGGTTCACTGTGCTACTGCTGCCGCTGGCTGTCATCTACCACAGGATACAGGTCTGGTATAGGGACACATCATCATCATCATCATCATAGGGACACAAGGAGCATTATACAGCTGCTTTTCTCATTCAAGGGGCATAAAAAAAAGGAAAGGAACATTGAAAGAACTCTTAACATAAGAGAGCATCATAAGCAGGGGACAGACTGCACTTAAACTTTGCAGTGGACTTTATGGTGTTCTTCTTTTATTCCCATTCAATTCTGTAAGTGTTTGATAGAAGGTTTGAAAGTATACATGTAAAACCAACAGATATGTCCTTGTTTGTTCCCGTAGAAATACTACCGCTACACATCGCGTGAGCTGAAGCGTCTGGACAGTGTTAGTCTGTCTCCCATCTACGCTCACTTCTCCGAGACACTGACAGGCCTCACCACCATCAGGGGGCTCAGAGCAGTACACAGGTTAGTGGATTTTCTGTTGAGAAATAAGCAGTACAGTAAGCATATTTGGATTTAGTAATCCAACTGCTGTACCTTTTGTCTGCATTTCTTGATTTGTGATATTGGTTGTCTTATATAACATGCATATATTGTGTTGTATAATTGGTATCAAATTTCTTTTCATAGCCTTTTTTATGAAGACTATTCTTACTTGAGGGAGCACCTTTGGAACAGACAAAGGAAATGGCATCACAATCAGAATATAGTCAATAAAATGTCAAGTATCCAAGTATATATAGAAAGGTAAAAATTGCAAACAATTTATTCCACTGATGCATGCAAGAAAGGAAATCTAATGTAGCTACTAGTATAATATAGAACACATATCATCTTCGTTACACAAGGACTGTCCTCCCTGTCTCAGATTTAAACACGAGAACAAGACGCGGCTGGAGTGTAACCAGCGGGCCAGCTTCTCCGGCCAGGTGGCCTCCAGCTGGCTGGGCATCCGGCTGCAGCTGCTCGGGGTTGCCATGGTAACAGGCGTGGCCTTCATCGCTGTGCTGGAGCATCACTTTCAAACAGTAGATCCGGGTGAGCGTGCTGTGCTGCTTTTTCAAGATACACTGTAGTTGGAAGGAAAGCAAAGGGAGAGAAGACATTGATGAATCAGGAATAGCCAGGCCAATAAACAACTTTTAGACTGCAGATTAATGATTGTGAGGGTGGACCTCGCTGCTACCAGGTACAGTAGGGGCATCATCACTAGATAGCCTCTAACAATTATGTTTACAGTTAGATGTGCAAATTTTAGGTGTAACAAGTCATTCAGTGAGTAATATAACCAGCTACTGCCACGCCTCATGCCTGTAAAGCTGGTGTGTTATACCGTTACACCAGGTATACAGATACAGATTGTGTATCTGGTTGATGTGTTGTTGATTTGATTGAGTTGAATTTAGCTGAACATCTATGTGCTTCACCCATATGTATGGCTATGTGAGTTGTCTATTGGTGGATTTGTCCGCAGGCCTGGTAGGGCTGGCCATCTCCTACGCCCTGTCAGTGACCAACCTGCTGTCAGGCGTCGTGACCTCCTTCACAGAGACAGAGAAGCAGATGGTCAGTGTGGAGCGGGCCGTGCAGTATGTCAAGAACGTACCATGGGAGCGGGCTGAGGGGGTCTTAGAGGTAGGAGGAGCCTGATAAGATGTTCCAATATATGTATTCTTTTGGCTGTTCAGTCAGGACAGCCCACCTAGCCTGTGAGCTGAGCCTGTGGCTATTAAAAGGGCTACAGTCTATCAAGGACTACATGTTGGCAGGAGTAATGATGTAATTGTAAATAATGTTGCTAATCACTAATGTAACAGAGGTATCGATGGAACTGTATCATAGTTCATAGTTCATTGTGGCTGTACTTACGTTAGTGTGTTCTCCAGGTTAGTAGGAGCTGGCCGAAACACGGAGCTGTGACATGGCAGGCTGTCAACCTCACATACAGACAGGGTCTACCTAAGGTAGGATGATCATTGTCGGTCCAAAGATTTTTTTTAACCAACAGGTGTTACAAAGTATTGAATATTGATTCAAAATCAAACCCGTCATAAATGATGTTCTTGTTGTAATGCATTTCTGTGACTGATTTGAAAAGGATTTTTGTTTTACACGTATAATTAGGTGTTCCAAACTGTGAGCCCATCCATTTCAATGAAACATTGTTTAGAACTCTTTCTTGTTGTATTTCAGGCCCTGGACAATGTAACCTTCAGCATCAACCCTGGAGAGAAGGTTGGCGTGGTGGGCAGAACTGGGGCTGGCAAGTCCAGCCTGCTTCTGTGCCTGTTCAGAATGGCAGACATCCAGACAGGCACCATCAAAATTGATGATGTAGACATCAGAATGGTCGAGTTACAAAGATTGAGGTAAGTTGCCATTGCTGAGGTTTTTCCTAGCCTGTGTTTACACAATCTCCTGGCCGGGGGTTAATGGGAAGTGACGATCGTTGTGTGGGCCGGCAGCCAGGACCCTGATTTGGTCAATATTACTGAAAATGGAAAAATAGCTAGACAATTTTGGCAAAATAGTGTGCTAAATGATTTTAAGTTTTGAAGATATGTAAATGTAGTCCCTTGATACCTGTAATGTGTTGCCAGTGAATTGTAAGAAATGGTGTGAAGTCATGAGGCATCCCCTTAAGAAATTGTGAAGAAACATGATTTCAAATATCTAAGATTCCAATCCTTTCCCCAGATCCAGGTTAGCTGTGATTCCCCAGGACCCGTTCCTGTTTGGTGGGACAGTCCGGGAGAACCTGGACCCCAGAGACGTGTACAGTAACACTGACCTGTGGAGCATTCTGGAAAAATGTCACCTCAAGCCAGCAGTACAGGTGAACTAGCTCTCTTTTTTGACTGAATGCTAATGTTTCTCTGCAAGCATTCTTATCCTCTAGCACTCAAATGTCCCAGGTAACCAATAGATATCCATCTTTGTGCATCACCTGTAGAGAGTTGGAAATCAAATGGACTTGTGGATAATTTTTTTTTTTAAAAGAGGTTTCTCAAACATTATGCTATCCAGACAGATAGCATAAATTTCTTCTGTGCCTTGTGGTTTTCCACAGAAGCTGGGAGGGCTGGAGGCCGAGGTGGGTGAGAAGGGAAAAGTGTTTTCTGCTGGTCAGAGACAGCTGATGTGCCTGGCAAGGGCCATTCTCACCAGAGCAAAGGTGAGGCTTAAAGTAGCTACATACAGTCCTACTGCAATCATATGCACAGTATATGTATCTTGATTGAATAATTGATGGCCCAGATTTAAAGTGAACGACTGATTACATTGTACTTCTTTTGAAGATCCTATTTAAAGACATGTGTTATCAAACATTAGTTTCACAGGTGGTTTCAACATTTTGATGTCAAACATTTTGTTACACGTGCAAGGAACATGTTCCCAGTACCGGGACATTTTCATGGTGTTCAAGTTGAGCAGTAGCTGCTATTGGATAGTGGATAACAGAAAAGATATTTTAATTTTTGAACTTTAGATTCTGTTATTATCTTCTCAAACTTTGGTGTTGCTATTTTGTCTATCCAAGGTGCTTTGCATTGACGAGGCAACTGCTAATGTGGACCAAGAGACCGACAGACTCATTCAGCAAACCATCCGGACGGAGTTTGTTTGTAGCACCGTCATCACCATCGCACACAGGACCAACACCATCATGGACAGTGAGCGGGTCCTGGTCATGAGTGCAGGGAGGGTGGTGGAGTTTGCCTCGCCGCAGGAGCTGCTAGCTGATCCTACAACCATATTCTATGGTCTTGTACACAAAAATAGATAACACCTTTGAGTGAGTAACTGTAGGGATGCAAAAGGAGGAGTCCTTTAAAAGCTGCTAGACATCATTTTGTGTCAAATCAGCATAAATGGCCTGTGCGTGTACAATGTATGGTGATACATGTACCCTATTCTTGGGATCAGTTTTATGTGCTTGAGAAATGCATCCAAAGTGTTGTTTGTCCATGGGTAGTCCATTTGACAACAGACAATCCACTGAAAAATGATCTGAAATGGTCTACTCAGGCTTTCTTTGCTAGACACAACTCAGTGAAACACAGTAACAGAAAGGATTTTAACTGATACACACGACTTACACTTGTAAACTAGTGTAACTTTCTTTAGTGAAACACAAACTGGTGAAAAAAAATTGTTTCTCCATCTCAGACCATGACACAAGTCATTGATGGCTGACATTTAAATAGCAGTAACATCTGTGTCCATAACATCACCAGGGTCCATAATATTGCCACCTTGAGAAATAGTGTGCTTACAGATATTTTTACTGCAACATACCCTAGGTATGTACATTTGATGTGTGAAGGAGTGCATACAAAAAGGATGTTGCAGTAAAAATATCTTTAAGCACACTATTTCTCAAGGTGGTGATATTATGGACCCTGGTGATATTATGGACACAGATGTTACATGTAGTTTAAAGAAGTGAACTACATGTATCAACCTCTTTTGAAATTCCAGGTCTACTAATGGTTTTGGATATGTGCAATGATTGGATGTGGGACACAGGCTGGTGTCATGGCCCACACATTAGGTATTACACATAACAAGACATATGTGTTGGATAGAGTTAGTCCCTGCAAATGGCATGTTCTTGCCAGATCGATCATAAACTCCTTTACAGTGCCATGACATTATATAGTTTCTTTTAATGATAATGTTATATATTTATTGGTCAGAAAAATAAAACATGCTGTTATTCTATATCAAGCAATATTATCTCTTTTCTGTATTCAGTTTTCCCCCATTTTAAGGACTTTGTGAACCTATATAGATATGTCAAGAGGTCCTTGGATACACAAATTTAGGGAAAGCCTGGTTTGGTCAAATTAGCTGCCCAGTTGTGCGCGTTGCAAATACTGCAATACAAAACATTGTCGACAGAGGTCCTTCGTGTCAGTTCAATCAAGGATCCCGCCGACACATCCCGAACCTTGCCGAAGATGACGTCACCGGTCCCGCAGCCAATCAGCGGCGGAGCTGTCCGTCCCCGGCGGTCCGTGGATAATGGCGACCGCCCCCCTGCGAAGCAAGAGGGAAGTCATGAGCCGGTGCGCGGTGCGTGGCGCGGCTGCCATTTCGGGCGATACAAACACCCCGCCATCTTTTTTGGCACGGAGCCGCGCCTGGAGACTTTCCACTGCAGGCAGCCAGGAATTCGGGTGGATCTCCGCGGTGAAAGGTACGGTACACTTCCTCCCTCCCACCGTCGTCGGCCAGAACAATGTTTTCTATGATTCCGTATGCAGACGAATTTCTGGGTTCACGTTGTGTTTTCGTATGTTCGCTGAGAAGAAAATTTCTCCGCTTCCACAATCCAGATCTGCCTGTGACCTTTGGAAGCATTACCAGTGTACCGAATCGCAGGCGTTTCTGCCTCTCTGTGGTGATCTGTGTCCGTTCACCCTTGCTTTTGTGACTTTTCAACAACTTTATGAAAAGTTTTTGCCGTCATTATCTGGGCATTCGCTCCATTTCCGTAGAAATGTGCAGCCTTGCTGCTGTGTTGATTTTCGTGGTCAGTTTCACCACCTTTCAATTTCAACAACCCACCGAACCCGCCCAAGCCAGCGCTCCAGTCCCGTGTTTAGCCACATCACCTAGACGTTTACCGCAAGGGAATTATAGAGTCGTATGTAACAAGTATTTACGACTATATTTAAAAGTTTGAATTACGTCACGGGAAGGTGGGAGGGCGGGAGACTTGAACAGGGTCATGGTCGCAGGACAGTCGCCCAGGCGTTTGGCTGGGAGATCCATGCACCACTCTCACATTCTGGCCACATACGCCTTGGGATTGATTCAAGCAGTTCTTCCTGTATTTGCCAGACGTGACTGCATGGCCCTGTGTGGTGCGTTCTGATTATCAGCAAGGCTGCAGGCAGATTCACCACCACATCTGCAACCTGGCTGCCTTGCAAGAAATTATACCAACACCCTCCAAATATACACGCACAGAAATTACGTTTGTAGAAATTGTGCTAGAGTAATCTTGATCGATACTCAACCTCAAATCAGGTCTATGTGTATGAAGTGCACTGCCGTATGAACGCAATGCAGGTACAGTTTCTTCGATTTGAAATATATCTGATTCAGTAGTTCAATAAATAATCGATACACCCATAGCAGCGATCAGCTAATAGCTGATCAATGAGTTTGCAGCAGTACCATGTACTGAGTGCTTGTTATGGTTTTAACAGTTTGGAAATAAGATTTAAAGAGTTGTACATATTTGTAACATGTAATTTAATCTTCGAGTGCAATCTGTTACCTACTCGCACCTTAGATCAGCAACAAGAATTTCAGCCTGCCCGTTATAATGCAGACGATAACGTCAAATCCTGCTGCCACATAATTTAGAAAACAGTGTTGCCAAGTCGTTTGGAGATCAGAAGTGTGCGTACATCAGGGATTACTCATGGTGCCTTACTATCTCTAACCTGCAGCATGTTTGGCACCAACTTTGTAAAAAAAAAAAATTGGTTATGGGGTTAGGCAGCAGGGGGGGAGGTTAAATTCATTTTTTTTAATGTGGCAGTCATAGGTTACAAGGTATTTGCTTTCTGTACCAAATATATTCCCACAAATATTGTTGTTTCTATGAATTGATAACAAATTGTGACTATTATTGGATGCAGATATAAACATTGCAAAGATTGATAAACAAACATTTTATCCATGACAAATTTCATTAGATATCAGATCGCCTTTGAACTTGTAGTTATTCAGACAGGTACTTGTATTAAATTGTAGTAGTAGTAGTAGTTGACTAGTTCTTATCAGCAAAAAGATATACATGCTTCCTGGCAGCCGTATTGGAGGGCTGAATTAATTGTAAGGCTATTTACGAAAGTATCTGTCTATAAAATGATTATACATTAACAGTTGTCATTATTTAGCAACGCTGAAATTCACTTTTTCAACATTGATAAATATTCTAAAAAAAAACAACAATTGTATTCGAAGGCAATTTACAGAATAATGCTACATATGTAACAATTGCTATAGTATTGTATTATTTTATTGTATTGTTTGATTGCAGTTGTGAGGTGAGCCGCCCAGGTGCCAGGTGAATGTCCGGGCAGGATTCTGCCTCAGCCCCACCCCCCGGGGAGGCAGGCCATGACCTGCCCCAGGGGGAGGGGAGGGCGGAGGGGTCGTCCCTGGCCATGCCGCTCAACCTGCAGCGACTGGAGAGAGCCTTACAGATGGAGCCGTTCCTGGCGCACGTGCAGGGGATCCTGACGGAGGACATCGCCATCAGGTCAGGGCAAATTAACATACTAGTACTGGGCTTGAAATTAACTTTTGCACTGGTGAAAAAAAATAAAGTAGAATTTCAGCCTCTCATTCAAAGCTTGAAATTCAATAGCTAACTTCAAAATTGTAAACATGCAATCCAGGAAAGGTTCTTTTCTGACAATCAAATAATTCTTCAGAAAAATCTAGAGGCACCAGTGTCTCCACAACCAGAAATAAGCTGCACAGCTCCTATCTTGGGTGTGCAAAAGAATATATGCACCCAGTAGTTTGGAATCCTTTGAGGCAATGACCTGAATTTACTGTGTACAATAGTACATTTATGTATACTATGTAATCCATCAGAAATATCTTTGGGCACCAGTACACCCACAGTTGGAAATTAGGTGCAAAGCACAAAAGTGCATATGCTCCAGGATTTTCTGGCCCTGTGAGGCTGTGCTCTGACTGTTGCTGTGTCCCCCGCAGTGATGACAGCAGTGATGGAGGAGAGGATAAACTGCCGGTCCCCAGCCAGTCAGGAGACGGAGCGGGAGAGGTGGACCAGCATACCAAGATACTCAATGGGGTCATCGACCCTCCAGGTAAGTCCTGTGTGCTCAATAACCTGCTGAAATGGCAGGTGGAACTATTGGAGCTTCTCCTTTAGCTGTCTACCTGCGTATGTGATACCGTTATATTGTAAAGTTTGTTAAGTTTCCTGTACCCAGCATTGCGTGACAAAGTTTGTTACATACCTGAGTGTTGCTGGTGAAATAAATAAACTGAAACTGAAACTAAGTGACACCTCCTCTTCCGGGAGAGGACACAAGAACATACAAGACATAAGATTACATTGACGTACAGTTGACATAAAATTACAGTACATACAATCATTTCAAAATAGCAAGACATGTGTATCATTATATGCACTTCATGTTTTAGCGTCCATCATGTTCTTTAGTATTTGTTGCTGTGTGAGAACATTGGCACATGGAAGAATTCTGCTGAAGTAATAGAGGCTTTAGTACAGGACATATGTGGCTAGATGTTGGTTACACAGGGGTATTGGACTATAGCAGGGACTTATTGTAACATGCATTTTTGATATTCAGAAACCAGCAGACCAGCTTATGTATATACCATCCTTCTTACAGATATGAAGGAAGAGCGGTCCAGGCATTACAATTTCAGCAAAGTGAAGAAGAGCAGGAAATGGCTTAAGGTAAGCATAACAGTAAATAGAAGATAATACCCTCTTATCCACAATATCCATTTATTACAATTGCTGCCACCCAATCATAGCCCACAGCTGCTATATGTAAATATCTCAAATCTGGCTGTTTTAACAATAAACATTTATTCCTTGCTGCCCTAAACCCATAATCAGTAAAAATCTGGAAGCTAAGCTATATTCCCAACGTGCACATTTGTGTTAATATCTTTACTGCCATTGGTAGAATCTGCTGGTGAGTGACAGCTCGGAATCAGAGTCAGAGGACCAGCCAATCAGCGAGGAGGAGTACCACAGTATGCTTCGCCTTCACAAGCACATGAGGTCGTACCAAAACAGATTCTACACCGACAGAGAGGTGAGGTCATGACCTTTAGCCTTTCACCTTGCTATGCGGTCTTGCTGTACATATGCTCTGACTGTAGGAGTTGGAGTGTAAGAGTTAATTAAAACCATGGGTGGTAAAGAAAATTTAAAGAGAGTTTAATTGAAGACCTTATCCATACACAAATGTGTGAAAAACATGGGCAACAAATAGCACTTAAGAAGTCATCTCATAGTTTGAAGTTATTTTAATTATTATTACCAATTGGATATGTTTTATTCTTTGCCCCCACAGAACATGCAATACCAGTACTACAGCACAGGGTTGCTTTCCAACTACGACAAGTTCCACGAGCATCAGCGCTTCATCCTTGGACCAAAGAAGAAACGAAAAGAGGACAAGAAGCTAAAAGGTATCAGTGATGTCACTTGTGGATTTTTCAATATACTGAACCTCATAAGGGGTAGTACATCTGTGATGTCAACATGTTTTGTTGTATGATTCTGATTTATTACTTCATAAGCCATCCTGACAGTGGTGTCATGCCCAACTGGTTGTTAAGTTTGAATTATTCTGATAAAGTTGTAAAGCCTCAGGCAGATGTGTATCAGTATACTTATTTTTTCTCACCTATCCAGCCAAGATGAAGAAGCTGAAGAAACTAGAAAAGATGGAAATGAAGAAGATGAAGAAAAAGTCCAAAGAACCAGAAGAGGAGGAGGAGGAGGTAGGTGTACTTAGAGCAAACAGCACAAGGCTCAAAATAATATTTTTTTTACACAACCACAATGTAACATGCACTTGCACCAAACTACTTTTTCCTGTACCACACCGCAGAGAAGGTAGATATTATGAAATATGGATCAAACTAGGAATTGGTAAGAAACTATCTCAATTCTCTGCATTTCACAGGTGATATTGAAAAGTACAATTGACAAAAATTTTCATACACCTATGCACCCAATTCAGGGCTAGTGCAGGTTGGGAGCAGGTAAACATAAAAATACCTTTAATAACCATGTGGCTATGCAGGGGGTATTTGGAGCACTGATAATGAAAAGTACCAACAGAAGTAGTAGGAATGTCTATCCAAAAAGTTTCAAGTGAAAGTTGGTTGTTGTGGGCACATAATCGTAAGATTTACATCATCCTTGAGGACTCCAGCAAGAATAGTGTAAAATCTATGGAGCACTAATGTCTAATGACTAATAAAACAAACTGATAGTTGACTGATAGTGTTTCTACCCTGCCTGCTCCACCTGCCGTTAGATGGAGCTGGCTGACCTGGATGAGGAGACGGTCCAGGCTCTGCTCCAGGAGGCTGCCAAGCGCAGACGGACGCTCACCCTGAAGGAGGCAGACGCACGTCGGCGCAAAGTCTGGCTCGCCATCTGTAAGAAGGAGATCAATAAGGTATGCATTATTGATCAGCCAGGGGATCGGTGGACGGATCTAAGCTTGACTCTGATGTCTGTTGGCTTTGTGGATCAAAGGTGGCAGCATCTTTTAGAAGGCAGTGCATGTTGGTCATTCTGCCTTGTAGAAATCCATGAGCTGCAGTCTTGTACAAGCTTCACAGCAGTGTCAGTCTGATTTAACTGAAGTTAGAGAGGCTGTTTCATGTTGCTATCGGGGATTCTTTGGTCAAGTATGAAAGGTAATGGAGAGCAAAGCAGGGAAATAGAAATGATAGGAAGTAGGAAGCCCTTTGAAGTGATATGTGCACAGCCTGAATAAAGCACACTTCTAGTAGCCTTGGGCAGCAAGAGTTTTTGTTACACAAAATAGTAAAGAAAGAATTAAGACTATTGAAATTGAAAAATTCAAACCTAACTGATAGGGAGTAAAGAAACTTCATACAACAGTGATTTCATTTTGAAATAGCCTAGATGTTTCTTGTAGCCCTTTCAACCCTTAACAATTGTTCCCTGTCTGTTTCCCAAACTGTAGGCTCAGAGACAAAGGTCTTCTGCACACAACAACATGCTGTCCAATTGCAGAAAGGTAAGGACCAAATTGATGTTGTTGCACTTAAGAATAATCAACAATCAAACATGTCAACACTGGAGATATATTCAAGAAATATTTGAATTTGAGGAATGGGAGAAGCTGAATGTACATCTCATACCAAATGGCTTGTATAGTACATTACTTTTTAGTATATAAGTTCGTAGCCATAGTATAGTACAGTACAGACAAGAGTGCTGGCATAGGTACAATCATGACAACATGACAATACAGTAATAATATATTGTTCACAGATGGCTCAGCTTTGTCAGAAGGAGGTGCGTAAAGCCGCCATGCAGTCCCAGAGAGTGTGTAAAGAGACCCCGCCGCGGGCTCGGCGCCTGACGCGGGAGATGCTCGTGTTCTGGAAGAAGTACGAGAAGGTGGAGAAGGAACATCGCAAGCGGGCGGAGAAGGAGGCCATGGAGCAGCGCAAGCTGGACGATGAGCTCAGAGAGGTGGGTTATTCTCGGAAGAAGTTGGGTTGATAAGAGCATAGTTTTTAACAGTTATTTTAACTTCTTGTAACAGACATCGCTGTCCTTTTTGTGTTACTTTTAGAAGCATAATTTCTTGACTTGATTAGGAATATCTTTGCCTGTTTTTGTCAGTTTCAGAAGCATGATTTCCACAAATCTTACCTGCTATAACCTGTTTCTGTTACTTATAAAGAATTCATCAAAGAATACATGTATGCATTTAGTATCATCTAACAGCTCACTGACCATTTTGTCAGAACAACAGAATTCAAACTCTGTCTGCAAGTTGTTTAAATAAACGTCGAATTGAATTTCATCTCTCCCATGTATTCTAGGCCCGTCGCCAGCAGCGAAAGCTGAACTTTCTGATCACCCAGACGGAGCTCTACGCTCACTTCATGGCCAAGAAGCTGCGCGGGGAGATAGACTCACGACAGGAGGAGATCCTGAGCCAGCTGGAAGACAAAGTGCCCCGCCGCCAGGTTCAGGTGCAGGGCAGAGTCATGGAGCTGGAGGTGGATGACTATGGTAGGCTGCAGTTCACTCCTGTGTTGCTAGGAGGCGGTGTTGACTGGTGCTGTTGCTTGTTATGCATTACATAACTTATCAAGGCGAAAATCATCAAACGTTTTAGCACAGTAATACACGTACATGGACAAGCTTAGCTGTCTTTTCCAGTTGATTTTAACTAGCAAAAAAACTTGATCTGACCTGTCCTGACTTGACATGAAAGGGACATTCTCATTGTGAGAAATGCTGCAGCCAATATTCATAGTGAAGCTTAACCAAGGGATTTAGTCTTTGAACAAAACCAAGTAGTGAGCCTGACAACTGTTAGAGTGAATGTTTCATGCTTCACAAGACGGAAAATAAAGTTATAGGAAACCACACCATGGGTTATTGATGGAATGAGTAACATGGGAAGGTCAATGCTAAAGTATTTCAATAGTTTCTCTTTCTTGACTTTTGGATATAAATGGAAAGTATGAGGAAATCCATAAAAGCCAATTTTGTACAATACCAAGGGTTTACCTTGTCTTCAAATCATATTTAAGTAAAGTAGAAGGGGTTGCAAAAGGTCTTGACTATACCTGCAGTACAACCTTTCTCACACAGGGGGCATAACTAAGCCATCACCGTGGAATTGCCATGAGTGAATGCCTCACACTATAAGTAGATGTGGTGTGGTGTCCTTTATGTGATGATAAACTGTCAAACATTGTTTCATAGCAGAGGTGAAGTTTTGTTGTAATTTGTCTGTAATTTGTTCCACAGACAGTGAACTGATGAAGGCCACGGCTCTTCGGAATGCACAGGAGGCTTATGACGCACACCAGGCAAAGGTGAACAACTTTGCAAAACACTTTTTTTTAACATCGTTCAATTTGAATTCGCTGTTTCCCTATCTTTCACACACAGTTCAATGAACAGAACAAAAGACTTTACACTTTATGGTTGGTAGAACTTCTTAGTGAGAAGATTTAGTTTTAGTATTAGATAGACCAAAACAGTTCGCTAGTTTTAGATCTGCTGTATGCTCTATTGTCCAGTGAGGCTCTTAAAACTTGTTACACATTTTTTAAAAGTATAGTCACTTCTGTTTCAGAAACGTGCCTTTGATGAAGAAGTAGCTGCTTCCAAACGTTCCAATCAAGAAAAATGTAAGTGTCGCTAACTTAGTTTCTATGATATATTTTAAGCTGCATTCCATATATATTTACCACTCACGCTTTTGAAACTTTCTCGCGATTACTCAGATTACGAGCTAGCATCCAAGATATTTTCAGAATATGTCACTGCCTATAGGAGGTCCTGATCTGTACTCTCTCTTTGATGTAGGGAAGATGTCATCTATTTAATTTGACGCCTATGTAACAGAAAACCCTATCTGTTTGGACTGTGAATGGCATTGACTGACAAAAAGAGGTCGTGTTTCAAAAGCAACTGGAGTTCTAGCTTGTAGAAGCGCCAGGAAATGTAGGAATGCTTCAGTTCTCCTGACAGCTCTTCCTGTGTTCCCTCAACACCCAGCATGGCTTCTCCATTGTTTGCTCAGTGATGATGGTGAAGTTAGGCATTTCTGGCCAGTAGGTAGCCCTCTGCCTGGTAGCCCTTTGCTTGTAACCTGTAAAGTTAGGCAAAATCAGTTCTATGCTCTGGTTATGTGCATATAAGCATATGAAAAATACAGGTAAAAGTGGGTTGAACCAGATATTTTGACACCTAAATGGTGCAATGTTGCTGCACTTTGTGTTTTTAGCCATGCACACAAAGTACTAGATTCTTTTACATGCAGAGGTTTGAAGTTTAAGGCTACCCCACACATGGGACAGCATTTGATTGACAGTAATTATAAAGGTGTAGTACTGAAGTATTAGAATTTCTGCTCATTGATTGTGGCTGAAAGCATGGCTTTTATGTAAATCCTAGTTATTGTAGACAAAAGGTTTGGATTGTAATCAGCAGAGTTAGGTAGCTTTGCTTGTGGTGAAAGTTAGGCATAATTGCATGGAGCAGGAAAGTCCCTCAAGGCCCAAACCCCAATACAACAGAGCAACCTAAACGTGGCACAAGTTACATACTAAAAACTGTTCAAAAGCCATTGCTATTATTTCTTTTACACTTATCAGAGACAACCGTCAATGCAGCAAATGAAAATCCACATACACCTACATGAACATGCCAGTCAGGCATCAGAAATACCAATTGTACCTGTACTAACCTGCATATGCAGGTGGTATTTTTAGCCATGAATGTAGTTGATACCACATATCTCTTTAAAAAAAGCAGACACGAAACTGTCCTTATCTGATCCCACAGTTGACGAAACCTTCAGCCTGGCCAACCCCATGATGGCGAAAGGCGATCTCTCCCAACCCTCTTTCTTCAACGGTCAGCTCAAGGCCTACCAGCTCAAGGTGAGGACTTCTTGTAATATGTCTAACTCAAAAAGAAAGAAAGAAAGAATGAACACCTTAATCATGTATTTGTGTAACTTCTTATTTTGAGGAGTAAAAGATAAAGCATCAGAACTGATCTTCCCTTGCAGCTTGTATGATGAAGATCTCTCCAAGAGTTCTACATTGTATGTAAGATGGTGTTCTGCCATGTGAGAATAGAAACGTTGCAATTCTAGTGGCTAAGTTTCTAGTGGTGTGTATCAGAATCTAAGAATGCTGATGCAAACAATCTATAAAAACATGTTTCATCAGTATTAACATGAAGTCCATAGACCGAACTACTTCCCTCATCCAAAACCTTGCTCACCTGACAGTATTTGACATAAGATATAAGATAAGTATTAACAGTTTTTCTCAACTGGCTTCAGATAAATGAGAAAGTGCAAAAAGCCATTATATCCTTAATTGGACCCTGTCTCGTTAGCATTAGTAGAATCATCACAGTATAATGGGACGTCAGGAGAGACCGTGTGCCCTTGAACCACACCAGTCTATCTAGCAGAGCTGCTCTATATCTCCCCAAATCTGACTTTCAAATCAATTATCCTCTCCCGGAACGAAACAACCATCAGGGCTCTCCACAAGCAATGAAGCAAGCTTAGGGTACTCTCCCTCTCCCCAAAATCCTAGAAAGTCTCCCAAAATGTTCAAATTTAGGGCTTTCTCCTAGTATTTTCATGACAATTCACAACATCAACCAATTAGGGAGCACCTCTCCCCTAAAAATTTCTGGGAAGACCCCTGAACAACTCTCAGCCCCTGATACGTAGTCCCATCAGCACCTGGCGTCACAGCGGAGGTGAGGTGTAAATAAAGTCCCCTCGCTGCGGGGTTACCCTCGGAGACAAGCCCAGTGTCAGCGTGATGTGGTTTATTATGATGTAAGTGATGTTGTTGGGTTCCTGATGTGATGGAGATGGATATGATGGAAGAGCAGGTTGATTTGATATCAGCTCATGAACACCTTTGTGTAGGGCTGGTGCAAGCCTCTTGCACCTGAGGAAATCTTTTGTAATTTTTCACCTGAAAAGAAGAGGGCAAACCTTTTCTTAAATCCTTTGTTTGAACAAAAATGCATAATCTATTCTCCTTTTAGGCTGGATTACAAGCTTAACAGAAACTGAACATGAACTTTTACAGTATATCAATCAATCAAATGGTTTATTTATAAAACAATAGATTGTTAAAAAAAGTTCAATGCTGAAGGTGTATGACCTTGGCACTTTGATATGTAATTGATATCTTACATTTGTTTATTTTACCTTCTAGCATAATTTGATAACAAAAATAATAATTTTTTTCAAGGAGGGCTTTTAAATTGAATAGCAAATAAAGGAGACCACTTGTCCCTGGTAGGTCACCTGCCGATTTTGAATGTGAAAAGAACCAATTGGACGGCTTGGCCGGTGTCAGCTGCCCATTGTTTTAATAACACTGGTGGTGCGTGTGTTGTTCCAAGGGCAGTGAGTGCTTCATACATTAGCGACAACGTGCTGTATGTAGTATGACTGGAATAGAAATGGTTCCATCAGCACTGTGTGACCTGACTTAATCAGGCCTTTATGAAGCAGCTTGGCCCAGGGGCGTACGCAGACTTAATCTGGATCATACCTCGCTTAGACTTTATCTTGCTGACAACGCATCCCTAAGCTCAAGTCAGGTACAGCAATATCAGTGTACACTTGCTGCCAAACATTGTTGTATGTCGCCCGTATTGTCGCAGCACAAATAAACGGATGTTGAAAATTTGATAAAGCAATGTCAAAGGCACACGGAGGTAATAAAGTCCCATTATGTGCACTTCACCCCACCTGTCCTGCGGGACGGGTGCAACACGTGGGGCCGCCCTCCTCCGTCCCAGGGTAAACATCACACGTTCTACAAATATAATCACAACAAATTTGTGCTCAAGGCTGTGTGAACAGTTCTCAGTCCCAGTAGAGCAGTTTGGAGATGTGATTTGTGGTTGTTTTTGCAGCGCGAGACAATGATGACTAAAAATTGCCGCTTCCCCAGCGCAATCGCGGACAGATGTTTGCTGCTGATTAATTCCATGTAAATCAAGGTGTTTTTTTTTAGGGGGGGTTGGGACGCGGAAGTTTGGTCATGCATATACACATGAAGAAAACAAGGGAAATATTGTGCGTAATCATCATTTCTTATTAATAAACAGTGGTTACGGAGTGGGAGGCAAATTAGTCTTGACAGATTTGCAGTGTCCTGTTTCACAGGAACCACAAATTAGAGGCGAGGCACCCCAGAATGAGGGTAAATTACCCTTAGATGGGGGTGCTGAGCTGATTATAATTCATTTATTCATTGATTTTAATTGGGGAGATATCCTGTTTTATTCCCCAAAATGCCGACCTATTAATATTCTAGCGTCAAGCGTAGTCAGCCACGCGCAACGTCATATGAAGCATAAAAACATTAATTAAACATTGTGACTGGAATTTGCTGATGCAAACTGATTAGATAGAAAATATATGATTTTAGCCACTTCTTGTTTATTCAAATCAAATTAGATATTTGCTTAATTGCTACTTATTCTTTCATTTGAATCAAATTTTGATATACCAGCAGATTTTTCCAATTAGAGGAGAAACTAACAGACAGAGTATCTACCATCTAATACATGTGTTATATTTAAGTCAACTGTACAATACACAAAGGAGTACATACCTATATCTGGTAATATTTACTGGTAAAATGAAAAGAAAGAGTTGAAACAAAAGATACCCTGTGATCCATGATGTTGTTTTGTTTAGATGTGCCAGATACTTCAGCACAAAAGTGAAAATCTCTATTGTACTCAGGTGTATTTCTCCAGGGTGAAGTGGCAGACAATTCTGCTTTGCCTTTTATTGTTGTTGTTTTTGTTTTTGTTAGATTGGACTGGAGTGAAATTTGTCTGGAGGTCGACAGATTGAACGTGCCTGCGAAAAACATCAGCCGTATACACGCGTTTTCTGGCACGTGGCCTGGAGCATTTCAGGCGTTATACAATAGAAAAATTTTACACGTAACAGTTGATACAAAGACTTAAAAGTAAGAAAAATGATACTCAAAATAAGTCAAAATGTGCTAAATTATGGTACCAATCCAGTTGGATCTGTGGAGTTCATATTGAAGTTACCTTGACCCTGAGTATGTATGTGTTCCATAGAAGCTTGTAGCGACAGATCGGTACATATTAGTCCTGTCAAGTTTGGAAACCATGAAACTCAAATGTAGTCCTGTATTGTCCTATGATTTACTTTCTGCACATTGAAAGCACTTGTCAAAGAACTGACCTTGGTCCTTTATGGAACAGAAAATGGCAGAAAATTATACCGTAGCTTCCAGGGTCAAGATGTCATTTTTAGTCTGGAGGTACGTCATAATGGTGGCTTGTATGTTTCTTTCTTTTAAAAGCTTTCTTCCCTTGCAACTGATTGTGATCATTATGTGTACATTGTTGTTGATACGTTTAATTGTTTTTGAATATAAGGTAAACCGATCATCCTTCAGTCTTGTCAAGTTTTACAGATCTGAAGTTTTTCAGTAGTTTCGTTCAGTTTTCACCTTTTCTCTCCTTGTGGAAAATGAGTCTCGCACAGCATGTGCATGATTGGAATCCATCCATCCTACACTACAGAGCTTATAAAGTCAGCCAAAGACACGATTTCACCGTGACTAGATCCTGAGAATCGCGGTACAAAAGTGTTGCCAGTGTGGCTAGTTTTCCCGTTGGTGGCATTTTTGTCCACGTGCAGGCTAGTGGAAGTGTGCGGTGTACAGTACAAACAATTTTCTCCCGAATTCTGTGGTTTAAGTGCCCCATTATGCCTGCCCACTGTGATGTTTTTGATGCCGTTGTGGCCGCGCGTGGACCAGTAATCAACCATGACCACACACGTGTGCCGGCCTATAGAGACTATTCTTATTCCCTACTTTTGTATGCAGCTGCCGCAGAGCCTGCTTTTCACTTTGACCCTGCCCTATCCCCCCCTCCCTGAGGTGGTGGAGGTAACCAGGCTGTTGTTAGGACAGAGAGTGTTGGTGCACAAAAGCGCTCAAGTGTCTCCTTTTGTTCTTCCCTCGAATCACATAGGTGCTCTCCAAGTACAGCTGTCCTGCCGCGCTGCTTTGCAGTGTTACACGAAGATGGAAGTTTTAATCAACTCCAATCTGCACTGCTCCGCGTCCCATTCTGGTGGTTTGATTGTTGTTTTCACCAGAAGGGGTGGGGGGTGCCGGGATCAACAAAGGAAGACAAATGTCCACTGTCCTGCCTTGGGTTCAAGTTTGCCATATGTCCTTCCTGCTAGACCCTAGAGCTGGCTGGCTCATTTGCATGACAAGGACGTCCAGGGAAAATTGGCCTCTCCCTGGTGCTGCTGCAAACCTGTAATTTTCCTGTGTCCCCTACTGGAATGCCTCTGTGTTGTGCAGTCAGGCCGTACAGAAAGAGTTGTCCCTTCCCTCTGTTATTACAAGTGCCCCCACACGTCCACAGAAAGGAAAACCTGCCCCGTAATTACAGTAATTTTCCGTGATTTTCCATCGTGTGCCTGGAGGAGGCTGGGGCCTCAGATTAGGCTCCAGATCAATCTTGATCATTCTTTCAGCTTCCATCAATGGAGTAATTTATAATTCCTCGCCCTGCCACTGTTATTGTTGACTGCGCCCAATCCTGTTTGTCTTCAAAAGGCTCTTCCGTCCAGGATTTAGAACAGCAGAAGACTTTGAAGACTGAATAAAAGTTCAGGCCTCCCGATGGGACAGGCCCTGCCACCGTAGCAGAAACAGATGGAGGGAAACATCAGAACAAACAACTAAATAAATGAAAATTTTAATTTTTGTAACCCCCTGTCTGCCACAGTGTCAACATAATGTTTACTTTGATTTTCTGTTTACCTGTGTGTGTGTAGAAACTTTGTTGTGCCTGTAGAAATGGTAGAAATGAAACTTTGTCTCTTGTGTTACAGGGTTTGAACTGGCTAGCCAATCTGTATGATCAGGTAAAAATGCTGCCCTTTTTTATTATTTGACATCCTTTTTCTAATGTGATGATCAATGGTTTAGAACATCGGTAAAAATATCTATAAATCACCATTTATACAATCATCGTCCTCATTATTATCATCATGTTTTTATAGTTCATTTCTAATAGCCATATAAAACACCTTATCCTGTCATGTGTTCCATGACTTGCTTCTATAAAAACACCAGTGGTCCATCAGATTGTCATTCAGATCATTATCAACATCTGTTTATTAGAATGGAAGCAAGCATCAGCTCCTATTTTTAGTTACTGTCCACAACACTTTCTTGCCTCAATAACGGACTCTTTTTTATTTCCTTCTCCAGGGTATCAATGGCATCCTTGCAGACGAGATGGGGTTGGGGAAGACTGTACAGAGCATCGCCTTCCTCGCACATCTGGCAGAGGTAAAATCTCCGCCAACTTTCGGCTCTACAGTAGCACCCCGGACAGCTGCTCGCAGAGAGCCCTCACATAATGGCGGCTCCCGCTGGGTGTGTTTTGGAGCAGGTCCTGAAGCATGTCCACACCACAAAATTGTATTATTTTGCATAGTTACCGAGGGCCTGCAGGGGGGCTTTGACCGGCCTGGAGCGTGGCATCACTTGGGTTCATTAAATCCCCATTACTTGTGTTCCACCCTTGTAGAAGGGGTGATGTCATTCTTCCTTTCTCCCCAGACCCCAAGTGGTCCCCACCTCACAATAAAGAGAGAGAAAAGAAGAAGTTTTTCAAAGACCGTTGTAAGACGGTCTGGCCGGCTAGAACCACACACCCACAAGTGACAGGATGAAAGTTTGCCCTTTTCGAGCCTTAGATGAATGTACATTTGCACCAAGGTCCAGTTGTTGCAAAAGTCCTGAGTGTTAGCCCAAGCCGCAGCGGCCCAGGCCATCTGCCACTTGTTCCTGGCCCGTGCCGTGTCTTTTGTCCCCCTGTCAGCATCCACACCCCAACATCTCATTTAACCCGGTCTTACGACCTCCTACCCTGGCAGTAATGAAACAGGTTGTCCCCCACCATTGTGATTTGTTACAGTGACCTCAGTTTTCACTTTGCATGTCTTGAAAAAAAGCGGACTAAAGTGTTTTATAGAGAGTTGGTAAAGACCGTGCAGGGATTGGTCAGGCTGTGCAGCTTGTTCATATTTATTAATGAGGTTGTGAATACAGCAACTTGACTGTGACAATTTCCTTTTGCATGTTTTGTCTGCATTGTCTTTCTTTTAGATACATTCATACATTTATATTACGTGGAAGTCAAGACTTTTCAATATGGCATGTTGAATGATAAGCAGGTGGTAGAAGTTTAAAACATAAAGGAACTTGAAAACAACAAAATATATTCTGCAAACTCACAGATTAATCTGTATATACATTGGTCATTACACTCTAACTCTCTAATGTATAGCACATTGCAGGAACTTATGTCGTGAGTTTGTAAAGGCAAGGCTGAAGAATCACTAACTTTCAAACAAAATCAGACAACATACAGACAAAGTATTCCAGACACAGTGTGATTGTATGATTATAGAAGTATAGTATAAAACATTTCAAGTATTTTCCTCAGCTGTGATCTGCTTGGATCAGAACTTCTTAGAGTCATCATTGAAATCTACTTTCTTGTTCACGTCTTACTTTCTTCTGGACTGTGTCCCTGCAGCGAGTGGGGATCTGGGGCCCGTTCCTGGTCATCGCTCCAGCCTCGACTCTCCACAACTGGCAGCAGGAGTGCAGCCGATTTGTACCAAAGTTTAAGGCAAGTACACTTTACTTTCCACCCACAGTCGCACATTGAGTGGACACGGCTGCATCAATAGTCATCTACTCCAGACATGAAACTATTCCATGTACTTGATGAATGTTTTACCAACATGATATGATACTTCCAACTTTTTGAGAACCAGACTTTTACTATTGACTAATGCATACTACACTGTTATTGCAAAGTTTATCGAACAGTCCAAAATAGATGTCTAGAAACCATCACAAAATGTGTAAATAAACCCTGCTGAATTGCCATAATTTTATGAGCATTCATGGGCAATAATGTTACGAAGTATACAGCAAGTACATGTATTTGTGTGTTCCTGTCTGACTTTATGACAATATAATCACACATGCTACACAAAGCACTTTTCTCCACGGATGACGGCAGATGGTTTTCTGATGCTGTCATGACATATTAAACAAAACATCAACTGTTATGACATAAATGTTCTTGCTACTTCTATAGGTGCTGCCATATTGGGGTAACCAGCACGACAGGAAAGTCTTACGAAAGTTCTGGAATCAGGTTAGTCATGCCCCCCTCCCCACACCTGCTGCACCCATTCAACAGGGCACTCATTAAATTACTGTTACTCCGTCGTTACTGGGCCATCAGTGCCGCCGGAGGATCAGTACAACAATGGGATTATGCTAATGAGGTACACAAAGGCAGGCAGGCTTTGTAGTGACCAGTTGGTCAGCTGATGGCCTGGAGGACCTTTGCTGTCAGATGGGCAAGAACAATGGCTTGACCACTGCAATATTGGTCAATGGGGTACTCTGAAAACCACTGGGGGACTCTCATTTTTTTGTTCTTTCGAGACTATACTTTCTTGACCTTTCTGACCTTGACATGGTTCTCAATATTGTCCAGGGAGTAATTAATCCACAAGTGGTCAGTGCCCGATGTTTTGGTGGTGAAACATTGTACTGTATGCAAATCCCTGAACACGCCAGCTGTGCAGAAAAGTTATAACTGCTGCAAGCAAGTCGCTGCAACACTTGCTCTGTCTTCTCAAGCAAGTTGTAGACCCCAGCCAGCATGTGGTTCCTTGTCGAGAATGATATGTTGAATCCTTAGTCTTCAACAGTAGCCATGGTCGGGTCTATAACTTTCAAGATTGACTCCAAAACTCAATATTACTCAAAAAGCTGTCAGGGAATGACAAATTACATCATGATTATAGCATTGTCCTGGTATTGTTAGCTAAGTTAATGGAAAATCTGGATCATAATCTGTCGTAATTGGAAATGTCCATCCATTTCTGATTTCAGTATGAAACAGGTGAAAAATATCCCTCTGCAGTTTGCCTTTGTCCATCTGAAAACTATTCATAGCAATCCCCTCTACAGTAAGATGTCTTTGTTGTTTTCTTGAAAATAGAAACCCTCTTTTCATCCTTCATCTTTGAATTGTCTGTGATCCTTCATGACTACCATTATGGGCATTGTGGAAGACAATATCAAGCAGTGGCTTGGCTGAAACTTCAAAGGCAGTCGCAACCTACCAACAGATGTTGCTCGCTCAAAACTTTTTGTTTCACCGTGCACGCGTCCTTTGACTGTTGTGTGGACGCTTTTTTGCAGACCAGACCCATTTAGGCAGCATATATCACCGGGCCTGACAGCAACTGTGAAATTCAACACTAGTATTACAACATGGAACGTGATGAAAGACAGGGATGGGTGATTTATCTTACAAAGAACTTCAAAATTGCCCATTTGCCTGTCGGTAAGGCTTTGGAAGAGTGTCTTTGGAATTGGCTTTCTTTGCAAACCCGCCAACTGTCTCGAGATTGAAGCACAGATTTGTAAGAGGGGAGGGAAGCTGTAGTTGCCTCTGCAAGTGTGGAAAATTGCCCAGAAGCTTGTGTGAGTCTAGCCTACAAGTGTTGACAGGTTCTGAAGTCAGGTGCCTGCTGCTGGAGGAAACCCCAAGGCCAGAATTAGTCACACTCGCCCAGTGTGCAGGCTGCAATTGACCTCTCCTGACCTGGAAGTTTTACTTCCTAACCAGAAGGGTGAAATACAACACTCCAGTTAGCAGGTTTGGGGACCAGGGCCTGTCATCCCCTATAATGGGAGTCAGTGTGAGGATTTCTGGTCCCTTCCCAGTAGTTTTGTGGTCAATTTGACTTGAAAATGTTTTACTCCTTAAGGTCACTGTAGCCATATTCATACAGTATGGGAACTCTATAAAAGTGACCCGACTCCTTGACCTTGGGCGTCCTTCTTGCTTGAAGGGGTAGGGCTGTGTCAAAAAAAAGTTTCAGGAAGCCAGGGACAAGTTTTCATACTATTGAAAAGGCACTTGTACATGTATCACCTGTTAGGCTGATCTTTCTCATCCAAGATTGCTTCTTTTATAGTCTCGTTACACTCTGTATAATGATTCATCAACACAATACAGAAAGTGAGGTCCCAGTTTGTGAATGCAAGGGGGGGCACCTGTGTGTATTGTAGTGAGAAGAGAAAGGATTGTAATGTTGTATGGACATCAGGGTACAGTGTTGCTGGAGACAACTCCTACAATATGGACCACTCTTTGTTCCAACCATCTTGACTCCCCACTGCCATCTGCACTGTGTGGTGGTAGAATTAGTTCTGCCTGGCCAGGAAATGGAAGGGGCTGTGACCTTGTGGAGGTAGAGGTCAGCCCGTGGTTAGTGGTTCTATTGGTTGATAAATCTCTGGGCTTTGTCAGACAATTTGAATGGAACATTTGCCATTCTTATCAGATTGGCAAATGCCCCGAGGAAGGATTGATTTTTACTTTGTTCCTCCATGGAGTGGAATTGGTTCCCTTAGAAGAACAAAAGACTTAGTGATGTAAATGGATTACTTGTCCATATTTCTTGTCCATACCTTTCTTTCTTAAAATGTTTCTCCTTGTTTAAAATATCATTATCATTGAAATTTTTTGAAATACAAAACTGAATCTGATAATATCAGTACCATGGCCTAAAGTTCACCCATCTTTAATAAACCATTAATTTTGTTACTATGACATTGCTATTTTTTTCTGTTCTCTTATGATCCTGCATGGACCATCAGTTGATCTTTCCTCAGCTCACGAAAGGGTAGTCATGTGACCTAGCTTATTTCTTCTAGCTTATGTAAAGGGTCACAGTCCTTAGACAGGACTGTGGTATGTGGTACACTGTCTACTGTGCTTGTCACAAAGAGCTAGGGGAATTTATCTGTTATGACAAACCTTTAAATACTGTGCACAGAATCTGTCTTCTCTGTTACGACCAGTGGAAGAGTAGCTCATTAGCAAGCTTAAACTTTTTCCCTCCCCTTGCAGAAACAGCTGCAGATGCACACGGAGGACGCTCCGTTCCACGTGCTGATCACGTCGTACCAGCTGGTGGTGCAGGACGTGAAGTACTTCCAGCGCATCAAGTGGCAGTACATGGTGCTGGACGAGGCCCAGGCCATCAAGAGCAGCGCCTCTGTCAGGTGGAAGATCCTGCTGGGCTTCAGCTGCAGGAACAGGCTGCTCCTCACAGGCACGCCCATACAGAACACCATGGCTGAGGTGAACTATCTGTATCCTGATAATCACACTGCTCGTGACTAGTGCTGCATACTTGTACAATATACTGCCAAATAATTTCAGTACAGATTCAAACTATTAAAAGTTCATGTATGAGTACTGTACCTCACTAAACTTTCACACAGGCTCTACCCATACAGAACACCATGGCTGAGGTAATAGTCAAAGTTTATTGCACAATAATTGTAACAGGTGCATTGTATGGCAGATATTTCTAGCTGGTATGAATCTATCAAAATTCTACTACATGTACTAATACTCGTGCCTTCAAAGATCAGAGTTCTCATCCAAGGATTGAAATGTTCCTAGAATTATAGTAGAGTGGAACTCGCTGCAACCAAGTACAGTTGGGGCATTAGCAATAGATAGCTTTAAACAAGCCTGCATTTGTATCCCCTTACAAGTGTAGGTTCTCCCCATGTGCATAAAGTACCTTAACTCCAAAAGAATATCCTGTTAGATTCATTCATGTTTCCTTCATCATTTACGACCATGTGTTACCTTGTCAGATTGTTTAGATTCAGGTACATGTGCTGGTCCAGAACAGTACTGGTACCTTAAATAACACAGTCACCTTTCTTAAAGTAGTTGTTAGAAACGTTTTTTAAATCCCTTACTATATTACACACTGATGACGTTAAGTAACAAATGTTTAAAAAATCTGTTTTTGCAGCTTTGGGCACTTCTTCATTTCATCATGCCCACCCTGTTCGACTCTCACGAGGAGTTCAACGAATGGTTCTCCAAGGACATTGAAGGTCATGCTGAAAACAAGTCATCCCCATTGGATGAGAGTAAGTCACATGATCTACCTGGTCCTCAGAATCTTTTGTACTGGAGTAGACAAGTTATGATCATTGGTAAAGCCTTGAAGTCATAACTTGAACCAACTAGCTGAGATTTATAGTTATAGGCATCCATTTTTTAAATTTCTACTAGTAGTTTATGTAGTTGTTTTTTGCCATAAAACTGCGTTGATGATTATTTATGAAGTGCTTAACACACAGCTGAGTCATACTAATGGTCTCCACTTTGCAAATACGTCAACGTTCAACATTCTAGAACAGCAAGCTTTGACAGAGGCCACTATCAAGTTTCCAGTTGTTGGAAGCAAAAGACTAATAGTTTGCTCTCTATCTTACAAATCTGTTATTTGTATTCTATGTTTGTTTACCGCTGATTTCAGATACTGCTCATAGGGATGCCATTCCCTGTTTCTGTAATTAGTATGCGTCAGACGTTTTGTACAAGACAGATGCTTAAATCAAGCGTTGAGGCATCAGGCATGCATAATTTACCCTGTGATTTGTGATAATCAAAGGCGGTCTTAACAGGACTGAATAATTATCAGTCCTGTCTCGGCTAATCATGCACATATAAAGTATATTCATAGAGAGGCAGGTAGAGACAGCTGCAATATTCACCAGCTTATGAAGGGCATATCTGGAACATACTAATAAATCTGTAAATTAGACATGGAACAGCACATATCAAAGGCTTTTCCAGAAATTGTATGAAGATAAATGTCACATTTCAGCATGTGTTTGTCTTTTTAAGTGTTTGAAATTGCTGTCATAAAGTCTTTCCATGTTCCCCATTTAATTCTTTAAAGAGCCCATTTGTCATATGAGTTGAAGTTTATTGGAACCGCTGTAGTTATACAGGCAATTGAACGTTATGAGATACGAGCTTCTCTTGTTTGCAATCTTCCCTGCAGACCAGCTGTCCCGCCTCCACATGATCCTGAAGCCGTTCATGCTCCGCAGGATAAAAAAGGATGTAGAAAACGAGTTGTCAGACAAGGTGGGGCTCATATGTTTTGGGTAAAAGTTTGTTTGGGTGAAAGTTTTTTGTTTGGGTAAGAGTTTATTATTTGGGTAAAAGTGTTGCATTGGGGGAAAAGTTTTGCATTTGAGCACAATCCTGATGTTTGCAGAGGATCCACCTCTGCTGATGAAAAAAGTGCTTGAACTGTTCTGACATAACAGCAAGTCTTACAGATAAATAGTTACACAGTTAGCATACCCAAGGAAACTGTTATTCAAACAACTGTCAGATGTTTCAAGCAGCATCCACACCTTTTTGTCAGTGACTGACAGTGCTACTTGAAACATCTGACAGTCTTCAAAATCTATCCAGTTGCTTGAGTAACAGTTTCCTCATTACCTGGATGTCTAACCATCATTGATGTAGGTAGCATACCATTTGTGCACTTTTGAACCCAAGTTGTCACTGCAAAATAGGTTTTAAGAATCTACTGATATTCCTCTTTCAATGCTCACATTTGGTGCATTCCTGCCTTTGAACAATGTCTGTGTTCCAGATTGAGATCCTGGTGTACTGCTGTCTGAACCTGCGCCAGACCATGCTGTATCAGGCTGTCAAGAACAAGATTTCCATCGAGGACCTTCTCCAGTCTTCTGCCGGCTCCTCCTCCCAGGCTCAGTCTACAACCTCCAGCCTCATGAATCTGGTCATGCAGTTCAGAAAGGTGACAACAGGATTGTAGCTACTTACCATTTACCTGTCATCATATTGAATGTACACTTTTCTGTAGTTATCTTACAGCATGTCTGAGGATGCCTTCTTGAGACATTCTTACCTCTCTTAAGACACCATTAAGAGTGCCCCAAACAGACACCCTGTGGTGACAACATGGTTGTAGGAACTTACATTTACCTGTTATCATATTGCATGTACACCTGTTTGTAGTTATCCTAAAGGGATAGTATTAGCAAACTTCACACTTTGTTTCTGAAGAAGAAAACTCCTCCATCAACTTATGAACAAGCCACCAGGGGGCCCAAAATCTAATCGTTTCCAGGTCTCATCAAGACCTACCTACCTACCAAGTTTCATGACTCCATCCAAAACTCCAAAACCATCCAAAGCTTCTTGAGTTATCATGCTAAACCCCACACATACAGTTGTACATACAAATACTTCCTGGCAAAGGTAACAAAAGATTCAAAACAGGATTAACAGTTGATCAAGACTGACTCAGGTCTGAGGATGCTAGGCACAGTCTGCTTGAGCAGAAGACACACTTACACGGGTCTGAGGGTCCCTGCATGTCTCAGGATCCCTTCTTGAGACGTTCTTACCTCACTTAAGACACCAGTTAAAGTACCCAAAACAGACATTCTGTGGAGAGGTCTGGAGTATCCTCAGACAAATTCAGTATCTTTGTGTGATAGGTTCACTACTGTTGTCACTGTTGCTATCAACAGTCTTTCCTGTTACCAGCAAGCCTGGACTTCAACACAGACTCAAGAAAATTTATGTACATTCAACAATGCCTTCATACAAACAGGCTCCTGAAACATTCATCAAAAGTTATTTTTGTCCTAACACAATAGATGCTTTAGTGAGCAGAAGTTTCTCAGCTCCTGTGTTGATTACAAGTGCCAAAGCAGCCTTCTTGTTCCTCCTGCGCACTTGTCTGCCTGTAAGAGGGGCCGTGGTGCCAGCACGTGTGTCCGCCGCTCACTCCCAGCACCCAGCCCTGGAGACTGCGGTGGCTGTTTATTTACACGTGCCTCTAGGTGTAGACAAGTGCCCAGGTGGGGACCACGTTTCCATGGTAACCGTCCTCTTGGCCGTGTTTGCCCTCCAACAGGTGTGCAACTTCTAGGAGCCATCCCTCCTCCAGGAATGCCTGACAGCCCTCGACTCGAGTCATAACACTGGGAGCTTAGCCTAGAAACGGTAGTCATAAGTTTCCGCTGCCTTTCTTCTGCCCCAGAAGACGATGGCCATCGTGGGTGATTAGTATTAGGTAGATTACATTAGGAAGAAAGGGGGATTAGGAGTATCGGATTAAAATACTCAGGGCGTGAGGGCAAGGGCGGGACCAAAGGAAAAGTGAAAGTACTGGAATGTGTAAGGGTCTCGCGATCTGCTTCGGCACTTTTTGTTTTTCTTATGACCAAAGGGTAGGATTATCTGGGTCAACAACCTCACCGGCGACTCTTCAACTTATTTCTTTTAAGTTTTTTGTTTGTTCTCAATCCTCTGTCAACAGTAGGGGCAAAAATAGTTCTAAAAGAACTACTACCGTTGTGTTTCATGATACATTCTCACATATATTGTACTTAATTAAATATATAATACTTAGAGGCAATTTTCATGGGAAAAAGAATATAGATATATCTCAAAGGCAGCTTATATCCTTAAGATTTCCAGAATATCTAAAATTAAGTTGTGTTTCGTGGTCATTGAGGCATGGCAGTTGCCCCTACTGCCTTGTCCAATATTTTGACGTAGAATAAAGCAGAATCAATGTATCACATAACACACAATTTCAAACTACTCAATCTTGTCGTGATAATTTTCTATTTTTAATGTCTATCAATGTTGTTACTTCCTTGTTTGGTTAATGTGCTGAGAACCAATTTTATCTTGTTGAAGCCCGAGCCTGCTGTTTTCCCGTTGCCTACACATACTGGTCAATACCCGATCAGCAGCTAATGTGTGGCCTTTGTTGCCGACAGGTGTGCAATCATCCTGAGCTGTTCGAGAGGCAGGAGGCCCGATCACCCCTCTTCACACAACCAGACGCTTTCATCCTCCCAAAACTTGTATATAGGCAAGGTTCGTTGGGATGAATAAAGTCTTTCAGTCCTCAGTGGGAACAACTGTTTACATGAGATGTACAGAGACTGTATTGTCCCAGTGTATAACAGTGCTTCCTGTTGGAAATAAAACTTGTTTCTTTGTTAGTTTAATAAAGAAAAGTCTGTAGGCACTGATTAAAAGTTGCATGAGTATCATCCTATTGAATAAAATTTTCAGAAATCATACACTTTTTCCTTTGTTAACACAATGATTTGAAGACAGAAATTAGGGGGTATCAATTTTGTGGGGCTTGTAATATAGTTTTAAGTTATTTCTCAGACCTAAATTTTATCTTTGTTTATGCCCACAGGACATGTAGATAGTGTATCATACAGCAAGAATAGGTGAGAGCATGATTTTTTCTTACTTGGCTTTAAACTCTCATCTATTGTACTGTCATAACTGGTTGAATTGCTGTGAGCTCAAACATACATATGAAATTAAACTATTTAAAAAGCCTCAATGATGAATATGGTAATCCTTTACCCTGTTTTGTCAGTTTTTCCTCTATTTGTAAGTATTTGGAAAGTTTGATGAAATTTCATTCAAGACTTTTTTATTGGATACTTCTAATCTACCACCACAGGTACATCTACAACATGCTTTATGCATTCTCTGAAGAGAATGTACATCACAGTCTCTTTCCTCCCAAGAAGGGCTCTACCAAAGGTGAGTCTGCTGATAAACTTTTCAATTAATCAGTGATGGAATAAAAAAATCCTTTGGGTTTCTTTGACAACTAAACCATAAGTAGGATGTACATTGTAGCTAGTAGGGCAAAATTACCACTTCAGGAATAAATAAGTTACCCTGCTAAAAAAAGTGAAGGAGTAAGGTCTTGGTCTGTTGATACCAATAAACTTTTATCACATCATAGAGACTTGTGTGCTCATTTTTCCAAAGTAAAGATGCTTGCATTCATAAGATAAAGGTTGCCATACCTGGTTGTTATGTTAGGATGAAATATGATGTATGCATCACAAGAAACATAGCACTAAAGTGAACAGCGCCTGTTAGTATTGGCTTTGTGACTGTTTAGCCAATGTGGTTTTTATACTACTTTTCAGACGTGCAGTCAGAAAGCACATTCTCGTTCCTCCGGTTCATGAACACGTCGCCGGCAGAGGCACACAGCCTGATGCTGTGTGGGCTGCTGGTCAGGTGGCTGGCGCTGTACCTGACACTGAAGGAGGCCTACAGGATACACCATCACAGGGAGTGGCACGCACAGTCAGGCCAACATAGGTAGGGATGGGAAGTTAGAAGATCATTAGAACTGATACTGTAAATTGTGAACTACCGAGGGGACTTTCCCAGTGTGAGTGCTTCAAACCTAACAGTCCTATGGCCGCACCTGGGGTCATATTGAGGTCACCTGAGTTAACAGCAAAATTAAGTCGCTGTGAACTTGCAGTATTTGCAGTGACGTAGTTGTTAGTGTTTTGCTGCCAAGTTTTGGATAAGATAACTGGTTGTAACTCCTTTGACTTTGTTTTTTTTCTTTTATTTATTGGTTTGGCTGTTTAATCCTTACAGCCAGGGCAGCCCAACTAGTCAGTGGCTATTATAAAGGGCTTGCTGACAAGACATGACATAATATTACGGCAACATATATGGTGGCTTAATTTTTTTCCCATCAGGTGTCTGGACAGGACAGGGCTCCTGTTGTCGCCGTGCTTCCGTCTGTCGGCACCAGCCGTCGCCAGCAGCGCCGTCCTCAAGCACCTGGTCTTCACCAGCTTCACTACAAACTTCATCGGCCACATGCAGCAAACCTTCCACTTCATCCCTGAAACACCCGGGCACAGGTATGGGCTGTTAACTGTGCTATACCATATAACCATAGGGAGCTGTGTGGGAAAGTCATGGCTGTTAAACTCAATTTCTGAAGTAGTGAGAGACTCTTGAGTTTTGAGTTTTGGTCTCAGTCACATGCAGCAAGCCTTCCACTTCATCCCTGAAACACCGGGACACAGCTAACTTAGTTTTCAATTTTGTCTTTGTCAAAGTCTTATCCTTGTTTTAATGCTAATGAGTCAATAAACATCATGTCAATTTAATGTCAGATAAAACAATTATCATGAAAATGGTGTTGGTATATATTTTTGACTGAGGTGATATCAAATGACTTGATTTTCTAAATGGATAGGATTAATTCTTCAGTAAGGTGACCAGATTTTGAAGGGTGTATTGTGTTGTTAGAACGTTTCACAGTTTATTATTTATCCTACCAAATACTTCACAAGTCTAGACTGTAACCTGTTTTTAGGTGCTCTTGGATAAAAGCTACAAGAATTAAATGAAGTACATTGACCCTTTACATAGATACTAAAACTTATCGAGTGACACTTAGAACATATCAAGCGCTAAGTTTATTAGGCCCACCAGGGAAGTCGAGTCTCAACTTACCAACTGTTGACTTATGGCAGGCAGTAACAGGCATGACATGAATGCACTTGAGCAAATAACAAATGTTTTCATTCTTGCATGCAGAAGCTGTTCATTGTCTTGAATTATGATCTGCATATAAACTTGAAGCCTGTGATATGCATGAGGGATATTAGTAAAGGGCACACCTTGTTATCTTTTAATGGTGTTTGTCGTTATTGTCATTAATTTCCAGAGGAGCCATAACTCCTAGGTAATTCTATAAATAATTGATACACCAATGTTATAAATGTCAGTGTGTTACTATCACAGATCTATTTATCAAGCTTTTCTCTTATTTACCCGTAAACATGTTTAACATCTTCCACAGGGGGGCTTTGAGCCTAATTGGTCTATAATAGATTGCTCCATCTCTCCTTGAATTATTGATGTTGATGTTACACTACATTTAACAAATTTATTGCACTTGATAACAGAATTGAAGGTTTTCGTTATCAAGTTAGGAAATGTATTGTGTGCCTACATAAATATTTGACATAATGAAGATCAACTACATAAGTGAAAAGCATGGCCCTGATAAAAACCAACCAAACAGTTAACCTCAAGAACATATTATTTGCTGTACTATCCTGCTTCCTGTAGCTAGTAAGTTTTCTTTACATTTTTATGGGCGTTTCAAAACGTCTACACTTTTATGAAGTCAGTTTCAGTTCATCATTGTGTGCATGTACAGCTGATCAAGCCAGTATGTAAGAAAAACAAACTGCTGCCAGACAATTTCCACACAGTGTTTGTAAATAATTTATGAGGAAATTAAAGTTTGCAGATAAAATCATGCCAGTGATGTTGGGAATTCCTATTGGTGATATTTGATATGTTAATTGTGGGCCGATGCAAGGTATGAAATGGTTGTTGGACTTCAGTAACCTATAGATATAAAAGTTAAATTGGAGCTTGAAAATATAGATTGTGTCATTCACATTAAGAATTATGAGGTCTGCACAGGTGATTTGTAGGAAAAATGGGCTAGGATTGAAGTGCATACATTTTGCTAGAATGATTGTATACTTAATATACTAAAATGTTAAGTTAAAACACAAGATCTCTCACCTATCTGTGGAGGTAGGTGAGAGATCTTAATTGTGTTGGATCTTAAGTTTTAACTTTAGACATGTAACTACCAACACGGAGTAACTTTCATGATAAAATGGTATTGATTTGATTAATTTCATTACAGAAAACGAAGGCTTAGCAAGATCCGCCAGCTCTCCGTATCCCACGGCAGCAAGTCAGGGCTGACGTCCCCGACACGAGCCCACCCCACGCCCCTGTCTCCCACCAGGAGATCCTCTCACTCTGCATCCTCCCAGCAGCCTGCAGCCAACCCCTCCCGCAGGCTGGCCAGCCCCACACAGACCCCCACATCACCGAGGGTGAGTTTTGGGCCTTCCTTTGCATTCTCAGTTTTCAAAATTGTGCCATGTTTAGTCTTTAGCACATTTTCAGCATAAAAACAGTGAGAATCGCCTTGTTTAGCCGATGATTATGTGCTTCTTTTATTTGGATAATCAGTATATTAAATATTGTACCAGTCACTGACGAAAAGTAGTGGATTCTACTTGAAACATCTGAAAGTTTTCAAAATTTCTAAATATACTTGTTTGGCCACACCAATTTAATTTCTTGGTTAACGGATTCGCCCGCTTCATTTTTTTCTGATTTGCAAATAAAAATAAAAATTCAGAATCAACTGCAAAATGCTCATATTTTGCCCTGAACAGTTGAAAATGCTCCTTTTCATCCTACTTGATACAGATATTCCATCTTTCAATGCAAGGGTATCATTAGAAGTTCAAAATTCATTGTTTAAATTTTGAACAAGCCTGGTGTGTTGACTTCATGGCTCTTTATTATAATATCGTACCATTTTGGGCCATAAAAGGATGCCTTGGCCTGTTTTTATTTTTTTATTTTTTTCGCCCGCCCGCTCCATTATTTTTCTAGAAAAATCCGTTAACCAAGAAATTAAATTGGTGTGGCCTTAAGTAAAAGTTTTCTTGTGTATATTTGTATGGTTTTATTTGATAGTTTTCATGTAGAAACTTTTAAGGTTAGCCACACAAATACGTAAAGGATATCGTAACAAACCAATAAACCAATTTGAAGACATTGAATGTGATGCACTGACCTGTCCACTTCAGCCGAGAAGACATCCCAGTGGCAGTGCCAGCAGTGGGGAGAAGGCGGCCCCCCACCCCAAGTCCCCCACCCGCCACCACCTGCTGCTGCCCAGGTCCCCCCTCGCCAGGGGGGTCGGGAAACCATCCCGG